TTGAAACGTTTTTTTAGCACAAGATGCAGCATAGACTGATAAGAACTTTTCGTTACTGGATTGTGAATTCAAATTGCACAAAATTAAAAATAATTAATATTTATTAATATTTTAATAATGTTTCAGGAATATTAAAATATAATACCTAGGTTTATTATTATATATAAGTGGACATATAACCTCTAGAATACTCCTGTAATATTAAAAAAATATTTATGATATTTTCGAAATATTATAATAACATTATTTTAATTTTTTTTAATAATATTCATGTAACATTCTAGGAACATTTTGCGCTTATAGGGTAACGGAGTAAAACTTTACTCGATGGTAAAGATTCTCGATAAAATTATTCCTGAAATTAAAAAAAAAAATATTGCATTACTCACAGGTAAATAATTCTGTATGATACGTAAAAGAATTTCATATGGTTTAATCTATGGCGTATTCCAACTGTTTGAAATGAAGTAATTTTAAAGTCATTTGAAGTGATTGCTTGTTTGTAAATTAAAACAGAAACGTTTGAAGATAAGATATTGTAAGTACGATTGCAGTATCATGTTCTTACATTCAAGAAACATTGAAAAAAATGATAATTGTGAAGCATATATATCTACTGTTAACGAACAAGTAATCAGACTTTCTGTATAATATCAGTAATCGCAATTTAGTCAGCATGGATACTGTTCAAGAGAATGAGATAGAGTGAGATAGAATGTATAGTAAAATGAAATAGAAATATGTCACTAGTTCTATAAATGCCAAGTCATGTGATTGTAACAGCGAATCAGAATGCGTAACATCGGTTGCGCCTCTCTGATAAATCTAGAGGTTTGTTCGCGTCGCACGCTCCAATCTGCTCCTGTTCATTCCAACGCGCTCCAATACGTTCGCGTCACCGGAACCAATATGGCGACTAGATGTTCGCGTCGCGTTAGGGCCCTGGCACACAAAAAACTTAAGGCAGTAAGACGTAGCAGTAAGGAAATCAACATGTTGGATTCGCTACTGCTTATGTTATGGTCTTATGGACTTTACTGTGATTGGTCAATTCGTTTACTGTTTACATTTTACTGCTTAAGTTTTTTTGTGTGCCATGGCCCTTAGAGTATACTCCATGGATCAATTAAGAGCACGCTCCATTTGCCTCACCTCAGAAGGTGGTGCGGTTGGGGCATGTTACGCACGCATGCGTAATGATTGAGAATGTGTAGTGTTGAGAGAAGTATTTCATGGTTGTTACAGATATCTTAACCTATGTTCTGTAATCTTAACCTGAATAGTCAACTTTAGTGATTAATTTCGGATTTCTGCACACAGGATCATAGTGGAACTCTTCATGTAGTATAGAACGACAGGACGCTTGTCCCAACTTGTCCTAAATCCGTTCGTGTCATCGAGTGTTGGAGCACATGAATCCAACTGCTCCAATCGCCATCTTACCGGTGATCCACGGTGATCCAAGTGCTCTCTGAGTTAATTTGGAGCAAGCGACGCGAACAAACCTTAGGACTCTACCCTGACCCTGGATACCTATCATGATGTCTGTTCGCGTTGCTTGCACTTTTTGCACTTGTCATCTTCGCTTTCTCTCTTTTTAAAGCCAAATATATATCTATCTCATTTTAAGTGTAAAAATATTTGGGAATTTCATGTAACGCGAACAGACCTATTGAACAAAGTCGGAATGGATTCCGGTCGGAATTATTCAATTATTTCCTAGATTTCTAAGGCCTGAATCAGACTATTCATTGGCTGCGTTCAGCAGACTCAACAGTTTTGCAACCGTCTTATGATTATCTGCTGAGATAGGATCATTCTTCTAGATCTAAAAGTATGATCCAATTAGCGCGAAGGAAACTTCCAACAGTTGCAAAACAAACGTTCTGCTGAACGCAGCCATTGAATATTGAGATTGAAGATTGAAAGATTAAAATTTGACCAATCGAAACAATAAGAGCTAAAATTCCTTTGTTCTCACTGGTCAAATTTTAATCTTCAATCTTCAATCTCAATCTTCAATGCGTAGTCCGATTCCGGCCTTAGTATGCGTAACGTAAACTTTTGCTTGGTTTATAGGTCTGTTCGCGTTGCATGAAATCCTCAAATATTTTTGTACTTAAAATGAGAAATAGATATATATTTGGCCTCGAAAAAAGAGAAAGCGAAGATGTCGAATGCGAAAAGTGTAAGCAACGCGAACAGACTTTACGTTTCGGTCTTAACCTTAAAATGCTAAAATTCTGCCAATAGGGCTACCAGTCTTAATTGATTCTAACTGAAATCTGTATTCCATTGGCTGAATTTTAGGATTTTAGAGTTAAGACCGAAGTATAAACCAGGCACATAGGCCAGTATTCATAGTCGGTTCTTATTTCAAGATCGTCTTAAGTAATGTCTTAAAACGCTAATGCGGCTCTCTGATTGGTTCATGATACCTCAAGGCTGAACTTAAGACAGTCTTAAATTTAAGATCTGACTATGAATACCGGCCCTAGTCTTTTAATTATTGCACATTGGACGTGATATCCAATAAAAGCTCTGTTTTATATCGTCACGTGCGAAAAAATAGAAATTTCATTGGGCGCATTCAGCGAACTTAACAGCTGAGTGACCACTTGCTGTTATTGGTATATTCTTTCAGATCATCCAATCAGAATTTTATATTTAGGACCATTGTCATCAAGCTCAGTTAACTTAACTGGCCAGTTAGTCCATCAGAATTAACCAATCGCATTTGTCATTTTGTTTGCTTCAAATTGGTCAATTCTTGGTCAATTCCAGTTAAGTTAACTGAGCTTGGTGACAGTGGCCCTTAAAACAATAGGTACGTTCAGCAGACTCAACAGTTTTGCAACCGTTTTATGTTTGTCTGCTGAGATAGGACCATTCTTCTAGATCTAAAAGTATGATCCAATCAGCTCGAAAGAAACTTCCAACAGTTCTGCTGAACGAACGTTCTGCTGAACGCAGCCATACAACAAGCAGCGAGCGCTCACTCAACTGTTGAGTCTGTTGAATACAGCCATTGGATATCGCTCGTCGCTATAAATATATTTATTTCATTTATTGCACCACGTGCACGATTTCAGAAGGAAATAAAAGGAAATAAGCAGGAATAAAAGAAAACAGATTTAACAAGAGGTCTGTTCTTTTTAACTAAGTTCTTGCACGGCTCATTTTTCTTTCTTTTTTCTTCACGTTGGAGAAAAAAAGAAACATGATAAACCGTGCAAGTTCAGCTAAAAAGAACAGGGCCAATTGCAAAGTTGCTTTATCTGCTGAACGCAGTCAAATTCTATTGGATATCGTACGCAGTGTGAATTCAGCATAGGCTTGTTCTTTTTGGCTGAACTTTTGCACCAGTTCATCTTTCTTCCTTTTCTCTCCAGGAGGAAAGAAGAGGAAGAAAGATGAACTGGTGCAAAAGTTCAGTCAAAAAGAACAGGTCTCATAATGGGTGCATTCAGAAGCACGACCGCTCACTGAGCGCTCAGTGAGCTCTTGGATCTGATTGGCATATTCTGTTAGATCTAAAAATATAGACCAAACAGATACAAGAGCTCACTGAGCGCTCAGTGAACGGTCGTCGCTTCTGGATGCACCCATTGTACTCCCTGTTCTTTTCAACGTACTTTTTATAAACTTCGGAACGCGCCGATGCTGCGACAACAACGCCATCGAGCAAACTCAGCAAAACACGCATATAGACCGTTTAAATTCAAAAAGCTAACGGCATGCGTTTATTGTGGCGTCGTTTCCTGACGAAAGTGACGTGTGTGAATTTCTTTCGTGCAATAGATTGACACTTTCTAGAGATTGAGGTATGTATGCGACGATGCACAATTTATAACAACCGTATTGAGCTGTACTCTTAACTCGGATATTATTCTTTCTCGAAGAAAATTAAGAAGTGGGAATGATGGCCGATCAACCAGAATGGGAGCCTGTCGTGCAAAAAACAGCCGTCAAACTCGAACAGGCATTCGACGTGCTGCAGAAAACCTGGGAAGGCATCGGATGCACCAGGGATATGCGATCGACGTATTATGACCAAGCGCATAATCACATAATGGATTTGTTAAACGACATGGTCGCTGAGGCACAGTCAAAGCAGCAGCTGTTGTTTGCTAACATACAAGATCTTTTAAGACAAACAACGGCATTGTATGCAGAATTGCAAATGGAGATGATACCCAAAACGTATGATCATGTCCCTTTGTACAAAGTTGAACAAATTCTTCAAACAGATTTACAAAATTTAGAGTGCCTAAAGAAAGAACGTATTGTAATCCTCAAGGAATTATTGTCCAAGGAACAAGAAATTTGCAAGAAGCTCGGCTGCAAAGTATTAAACATAGTCGAGAATGTTGTACCTACAGAGCAAGATCTTGAGAGCTTTAAGCTTTATCTACAAAAGCAAGAGATTGAGAAGACACATTTGGAGAATATTTTTACAGATATACGTCGTTGCATAATCAAAATGATGAATGATTTGGAAATATCTCCATCTTCGCCATTTATAGATTTAGTTTGCAACAATCCTGAGGAATTTGTGCTGAATACAAATAATATGACAAAACTGAAAGAGTATAGGGATGAATTGGGTATACAGATAGAAGATACAAAGTGCTGCGTCGAAAAAATGAAGGAAGATTTATTGGCATTGTGGAAATATCTTGATGAACCTGACGACGTTTGTCAATTATTCCTTGAGAGACATCTTGGTTACAACACTAATACCGTAAATGCTCTTGCAGTAGAAATAAAGCGTTGTAAGGAAAAAAGAAAAGAGAATATCCTCAAGTACGTCACACAGATCAGATCCGAACTACTGGTTTTATGGGACTTGTGCAAATACTGTGAAGCAGAAAGAAACACGTTTGCACCATTTTTTTCTAATACATTTACAGAGGATCTTTTGACGTTGCACGAGTTAGAAGTAGAGAGATTGCGCAAATTTTATAATGATAATCAAACGATATTTGAGCTTCTAGAACAACGCGAAAATTTGATAACAAAAGTTAAGGATTTGCTTCAGCGAGCAAACAATCTCGATCGCTATCATAATCGCGGGGGCCAATTGTTGATGGAAGAAAAAGAGCGTAATGCTATACAAAGGAAATTACCCAAAATAGAAGCAGAATTGAGGAAATTGATCAAGGATTACGAGACTATTCATAATCAGATGTTTACTATTTACGGTACATCGTTGGAAAATGTTTTAGCAGAGAGTTGGGAAAGTGTTACTCTCGAGAGGGAGTCAAAGAAGAAGGCAAGAAAAGAAGCAAAAGATAAATCAATTAAGAAATCGCCTTTAAATAGTTCTAAGCGTACGCCGGGTATGTTGAGCGTTCACAGAGGACCAGCGCTAGGGTTATCGAAACGCAAATTGTTCAGTCCATCCCCCAACTCGTCGTTAAAACGCAGAAATAAAAACGGCGACAAAAATAAGCCTACTATCACTGTATCCAAGATCAGAAGGAGCGGAAAACTTGCAAAGATTAATCAGAAATCAGGCAGATCTTCCAAAGGCGGACAGAAAAGGAAGGAATCGCTGTCACCTGTTAATAGCATCATAGATACGACATACAATCAGTTTCAAGGTCATATGACAGCCAGAGAGGAATTGCACAGCTCAATGTTGCCAGAACAGATACTAAGGAGCACCAATAGGATCAATATCAACAAAACGCCAGTTCGAACGCCTATGAAACCATTGAGGAAACATCTTTCTGCAACGACAACACCATCTTTCACTCCTCTCTCCGCGCGCAAAACACCGCACAGCCCCAGAGTCATTAACATCCCGAAACTAGCAACGGCCCCGAGTAACTTGCCTTTTATCTTTTAAACAAGATCGAATAATATATTTTTTTATATTATGACATGATAAAGTAAACCTATATTGTTTAATGGCTTAGAACGAGCAATAACAAGTAGTAATTAACATACATTCAATTTATTGTCATAACCATACAATAATAAAATTGTGATTTCGTTGAGGATAAATATGACTGAAATGTTCAGAAGTTTGTAATAATAATTTAATATGAATTATATATAATACATAAAATTAGTTGAAAATTTGTGCACATTTATTGAATTATTACTTTCAAAGTCTTTTAATTTGAAATATTTTAATTTTCCATTTTGAGAGTCCTTTAATAATTGTTCACAATTAAATAATAAAAAATTATCAACTTAGTCTTCCTCAGTTTGTAATAATTATATCAATTTGTTCATAAAAAACACTTAAGTCATGAAAATTAATACAATTTGTGAACCATTTTCAAATGTATAATTTGTACACCCAAAGACTTCGATTCTTTCCCTCGGTTACTTTTTTAAAACTTCCGAAAATTCAGATTATTTCATCTTTACGTCAAATTTAGTTGTAAGCGGACGTAAAAGGTTTAGCCGTGTCATTAATCGCGCACGAACTATGATCATTAATGTAAAAAGGTGGGTCATTTCTCAGTTTGTAAAAATTTCCGAGAGAAAGAATCGAAGTTTTTGGGTGTACCTATCCCTATAACATGTGCAGTCATTTTTTTTTACAAAGGTCATGATCAGCATCACACTGTCATTGCTATAAAATACTTTCATAACCAACTCTTCATTCGTTGGCAAAATCTTGTTAAATAAAAAATTAAGTAAGTTAGGTAAGTCGAAGTCTTTATCGTTGTATGATCTGACAATGAATTGAATGCATATTAATTACTACTTGTTATTGCCCGTTATAAGTCATTAAACAATATAACTTTGCTTTGTAGGCATCTCACGAATCTATTTACTTTATAAATTAATGACATAGTAAACTTTATCGCTTGTAAGAATGATCTGAAAAATCTAATTTTTACGAAATTCTTTTTTTCCAATCGTGCTGAAGATTATCCTTCGAATCTCAAATTTTATCATATGTAAAATACAGTACAAATAGGAATTGATATTCGTTACTGCTTGGTGATATTGGAATGCAAAAATCTATTAAATTGCTTCCAACATAGTTGAACGTAGTCGAGATTAGTTTAAGTTAATAAACGTACTCGTTAGAAGGAAAAAAAAAAAGAGCATTGCTAATACTTTCCTTTCGCCGAACAAAAGTGTAGTTCGATGCAATTTTTATTCGCAGCTGTAGTATATTAAATAGATTATAGGTTTTATTATTGTCGCACATATCTACGATTTATTAATAAGTCAGTATTGTACAAACATTTCTCCGTAAATTTTAAAATATTTGTAAGTGCGAATAATATTTCTGTAACGTACGGAAAAAACTTGATAAGATCTTTGCACATTTGTAACGTAAATATACTCTTACGATGTACGAAACTTAATTCCTAATATAACTTTCGAAATGTATTAAACAATTGTATTTTTAAAAGGATTACCTTAAAAATATATTTCGTTAAACTAAAAATTTCGTCTCTTAACAAAACTTTATTATTTATCGCAATAACATTAGAATGAATAATTAATTAAAATTAATTGTATGTATGTATTTAATAATTTTTGAAGTATAAAAATTTTTGAATTATTAAATTAATATGTATTTTTTCATTAAAATAGTACAATAAAAATACGTAAAAATTAAAACTGTTGCATTCAAGTACGATATTTAATTAAAACAGTAAAATTTATATATTTCCATAAACATCAACCATTCAAGATACATAAAATTAGATTACTTAGATTAGATTTGTCACGTTTTCATATGACTTCGACAAATTGCAATTGAAAGATGTCTCTGGCGCACTCTAGAATTATTCATGGAGATCATAGTTGGGATTGGTTGGCATCCATTCAGTCCACTTCACGCTCCAAATACTTTGGTATTCTTTGATTGGTCAATTCATAAAATCCTTTCTTCTGATTGGTCAACGAAGCATTTGCAATGTTAAGTGGATCGCCTCCTAAGTTAGGTTAGGTTAAATGAACTTTCTTGACATCTTGCTGATTTTTATGTCTGCTCTTTATCATCGTTCTTTTAGAAATATAAGTGAAAATACGAGACAGTTACTTTAATAACATTTACTATTCCTTCATATACGAGAGAAGAACGTTAACACCTGAGAATAGTGACGGAAGGTTAAAAAAATGGGCGATATAAAATCCTTTTTCCACCAGTGGTGTGCGAAGAACGGCAAAGAACCGCAATTTGATGTTAGACCAACAGGTAAGTATATCTGTTGATTTTATTCCGTTCAAATTAGCCAAAATGAATTGTATGGATTATTTACATTTCGCAGGACCGAAGCACAGGCAACGTTTCCTCTGCGAATTACGAATACCTGGCTATGACTACGTCGGCGCAGGAAATTCGACTAACAAAAAGGATGCGCAAGGAAACGCAGCGAGAGATTATGTTAACTATTTAGTACGTACGAATTGCGTGAATCCAAGCGATGTACCAAAAGATGCCGGGATACCGACGATGACACCGGATGCTATTAAGAACGAAGGCTCAACACCAATGAAATCGGTATTCCAAGGAGGCATGGGACCGAATGACATTGGTCAAGCATACAGGCCGTACAATGAACGTGGCCAGAGTAATTATACATACATGGATAGACTAGCTGATCAAAAGAAAGTGGAAGATGCTGAGGACGTTGACGTAAACTCTGGGATACATGGGAACTGGACGATAGAAAATGCCAAGTCCAAGCTTCATCAATTTATGCAAACTAACAAAATTAATGCAGATTACAAATATACTCCGGTCGGTCCGGATCATACGAGGTATGGAGTCTTGCAAATGGACTTTTTCTAGAACATTGGAATGGCATTGTAATGCAGTGCATAGTTCAATTTATGTGTTTCACTGTTATGAACAATTGCTTGCTGATTGTTGTACCATTTGAGATTTAACAAGGCCATTTTGGAGTATATTGCTCACTTACATCTAAAGCTGGTGCAAGAGAGTCGACGATGACTCTCTTCTGCACAAATAATAAGTGCGTTAAACCAAAACTTTTATTAAAATGATTTAATAATGGTTTTGGTGCAACTAGATAAAGAAACTTTCTTCAATGTACTCCAATGTGGTCATCTGTGACATCTTCAAATGGTAAGTCATTATTATTCATTGTAATTAATTGAGGGAATAAGTGAAACAAAATGTTTTTACCTTTGATATGGTTATAACAAGAAATAAATTTAATTATTTTATTTGCCATTATTTTGACAAATTTTATAAGAAATTACTGATAATAAAATAACTTATATTGATTTTTCAATAAGTAAAATTAATATACGAAAATTAGTTTTTAGTTTATATCAATAATTTTTTTAATGTACAGTAGATATCTTATTCAATTATTTAAAATATTTTGTTATATTCAAATTGTGTTAATTATATGTGTTTCTTTCACATTGTTCCCTTAATTATTAATTATGTTAATAACATATAGTACATTTTATAATATCTATAACAGAAATTATTTTTTACAGGAGTTTTATGGCAGAAATGTCACTTTATATTAAGCAACTTGGACGAAGTATGTTAATTTTTATTTATTTAAATGCATCTAAACATATTATATAAGAATGTAATAATTTAATATTTTAATACAACAGCTATAACTGGCCGCGAAACTGGATCAAATAAACAAACAGCTTCAAAAAGCTGTGCTTTGTCTATTGTTCGCCAACTATATCATCTAGGTGTAATTGAAGCATTTAGTGGTACATTAAAAAAGAATAAGGATACTGAACAGATGAGACCTTATCCTGTCAAAATTTCACCGGAACTGGAGAGTCAGATCCACGATGTTCTAACGAGTTTAGATATAAAACCAATTGATGTTAAAGAGGTATTAATCATTTTGATTATCCTTTATAAATGTGTGTGTGTGTGTGTGTGCACACGCGCGTGCGCATACACAGAGAGAGAAAGGGAGAGGGGTTCAAAATATCTAATTAGATTTATAATAAAAAATAAAATGTTTAAAATATAGCCGTTAATTGCAAAAGAAGATGATAATAATACAACTGTACCGAAAGACGAAAAAGATACGTCAACTGCTGGCGTATCTTTGTTGACAAATCAAGTTTTGGATGACTTCATATCTTCTGTACCGCAACCCGCTGGTGTCGTAAGCTGGTCACCACCTCAGCCGAATTGGAATCCATGGACTGGATGCAATATAGATGAGGGACCGCTGGCAACAACATCTCTGGATCAGTTGTCAGAAAATTTAATGAACGAACAGCGAGAAAAGCTGCAGCAGGACTCTAATTTGCAGGCATGCACCAAGGAAAGATCAAGTCTGCCTGTTTTCAATAAAAAAAGCGAGATCATGAATGCAATTAACGAAAATCCGATCATTATCATACGTGGAAATACGGGATGTGGTAAGACTACACAGGTTTGTCAGTTCATTCTGGACGATTATATCGCATCCGGTCAAGGTGCATATTGCAGTATAGTTGTCACTCAACCAAGAAGAATCTCCGCCGTATCTGTGGCCGATCGAGTCGCCGTCGAGAGATGCGAAGCCCTGGGACAATCGGTTGGATATTCTGTTAGGTTTGAATCGTACTTACCGAGACCCTATGCTAGTATAATGTTTTGCACTGTGGGTGTACTCTTGAGAAAGCTGGAGGGTGGCCTTAGAGGCGTATCGCATGTTATAGTTGATGAGATCCACGAGCGAGATGTCAATTCGGATTTCATCATGGTTGTGCTCAGAGATATGATCCATCTTTATCCCGATCTCAGAATCATCCTCATGTCTGCTACAATTGATACAACATTATTCAGCGAATATTTCAACAAATGTCCTGTGGTGGAGATTCCCGGCAGAGCATATCCTGTTCAGCAATATTTTTTGGAGGACTGTATACAGCTAACGAATTTTTTTCCACCTACAAGTTCCGGAAAACGTAAATCTAAGGAATCGGACGATTTACCAATACCGGACGCAGAACCAGACGAAAATCTAAATAAAGTCATCGGCAATAATTATTCTATTGAAACAAAGAACGCTATGGGACAACTGACGGAGAAAGAAATAAGCTTTGAATTAATAGAGGCGCTACTTATGTATGTTAAAAGACAGGATATTCCAGGTGCTGTGCTGATTTTCCTTCCTGGATGGAATTTAATATTCGCGTTGATGAAACACCTTCAACAGCATTCTCTCTTCGGCGGATCGTCTTATCTCATTATCCCACTACACTCGCAATTACCGAGAGAAGATCAGCGTAAAGTCTTTGATCCTGTTCCATCATTTGTAACGAAGATTATTTTGTCCACAAATATTGCAGAAACTTCGATCACGATCAACGATGTCGTCTACGTTATAGATTCTTGCAAGGCCAAAATGAAGTTATTTACTTCGCATAATAATATGACTAATTACGCAACTGTTTGGGCCAGTAAAACGAATCTGGAACAACGCAAGGGTAGAGCTGGTCGCGTTAGACCCGGCTTCTGTTTCCATCTGTGCTCAAAAGCTCGATTCAATAAAATGGACGAACACATGACACCAGAAATGTTCAGGACGCCTCTGCACGAATTGGCGTTGAGCATCAAGCTGTTAAGATTAGGCAATATCGGTCAATTCTTATCGAAGGCAATTGAGCCGCCGCCTATTGACGCTGTGATTGAAGCGGAAGTTGTATTAAGAGGTATATACCTTTATTTTTTCCTTTTTCTATAATTCAAAATTAATTTCTAATTGTATTGTGTAATTAATTTCTTTTTGTATTTCTATGCACGTAGAAATGAAATGCTTGGATAAAAACGACGAATTAACGCCTCTCGGCAAGATTTTGGCGCGTTTACCTATAGAACCGCGGTTGGGAAAGATGATGATCCTAGGATGTATGTTCCGTGTGGGCGACGCGCTCTCGACAATGGCCGCAAATAGTACCACTTTCCCCGAGGTATACAATATGGGTCCGGATGTAAAAAGGCTGACTGTTCAGCAAAAGTGGTTTGCCGGGGCTAGATTCAGCGACCATGTCGCAATGTTTCATGCTTTTCAAGCATGGGAGGAAGCGAGAACAGGTGGCGAATGGGCAGAACAAACATTCTGTGATTCAAAGAGCCTAAGTCTACCGACTTTACGAATTACCTGGGAAGCTAAGGTTGGTAGGATTGCGATGTTGCTAGAATATATCCTTATATACTCGCGATAATGACTTATTATTCCGTATGTGCAGAATCAACTACAAGCGCTATTGCAAAGCGCCGGTTTTCCCGAGGAGACTTTGTGCCCCATGCCATTAAATTATCAAGCAGGTGCGGATCCGCGTCTCGATACCATTACCGCGCTATTATGCATGGGCCTGTACCCCAATGTGTGCTATCACAAGGAGAAGCGGAAAGTTCTCACCACAGAATCGAAGGCTGCGCTGATTCATAAGACATCGGTGAATTGCAGCAACTTCGAGCAAAACTTTCCATTCCCGTTCTTCGTGTTTGGTGAAAAGGTATTTAGACAGCACAATGTCCAAGATTGAGATATAAGATATTTTATACTTCAATTTTGGATATGCGTGCTGTATGAATAAATTCTACCTATGAACATCTCTCTCACGCCTCGATACAACTCTCTCCATTTTGTTTCGTTAGATTCGCACGAGAGCTGTATCTTGCAAGCAAATGACCATGGTGTCGCCTATACATTTGTTACTGTTTGGGTCACGAAAAGTAGAATACGTGGATGGCGTGATTAAACTGGACAACTGGATCAACTTAGATATGAATCCACAACATGCAGCAGCCATCGTTGCTTTGAGACCAGCTTTGGAAAGTCTTGTAGTTCGGGCATCCAAGGATCCAGAAACGATTCTAGAGTTGAGTCCGACTGAAGAAAAGGTATAAATTAAACTTGAAATTTTAATTTGTACATATATATGTATCAAGTTAACGCAAAAGATTTGACGTTTTTCTATTAAATTTTGTATTAAAACTTCTGGCCACTAACCACTACTATCTCAGATCATAATGTCAGAAACGAGAAAATACATAATAAACGTTCTCTTATGTATCTCGTAATAAACAAAAAATATTTTTAATTGAGATAAAGTATATTGAAACCATTAACGACAATTTTGCTTTAATTTTGCTGTTTTTTTTATATAAAACTTTATTTTACAAATATCAGATCTTTTTTATTATACTTTAAAAAAATAGTTCTCTTCCTCTCTCTTCTTTTTTCAATTTTTTTCTGTAATATTTGGTAAACGACAATATCTTGGACTACATTTCAAAAACGTAATGTACATTATATTATATCAAGTAAAATTTTCTTCGGAGAGGACATTTTGGAATGTAGCTTCGATAGTGCTATTAATAAAACTTTTTTTTTTCAGGTATTGGGCGTGATTAAGGCATTATGCAGCATGAATGCTTGTCGTCACGAGTTGCAGCCGATAATCGGCGGTGGTTTCCAATCAGTGCGACCCCCCAGGGGACATGTAACCGGCTTTCGCGCTAGCTTTATCACACCTCCAAAACTAATGCGGGGAAGTGCAGGTTACCGTGGCCCAATCTTGAATAACGAGTCCTACGGCGGGAATGGTGGTAGCTTTAATGATAACCGCGGCGGTGGTTACAGAGGAAGCTACAACAGGGGATACGGCATGGGCAGTCCGCGCGGTCGAGGAAACTGGAATAATAGTGGCAACCGCGGACGTTACTAATTAATATGTTTATGCTGATTGTAATTACCGTGTTGCTATTACATTTTAGAATGCAGTTCAGGACTTATAATTCTGGACATTGATCTGGAGTGTCTTAGCATTTATGCATATTGCCTTCCTTTTTTTTACTTTGATCGACAAAGGCGATACTTCAAGTTAATGTCCAGAATTAGAAATCAGCACTATATTAGATTGAATTACTTGGATGGTTCAATTTTTGTCTGGAATTTTTTATTTCTCCAAGAAACGAATTGGAGTATCTCTTGTAGCAGTAAGGAAATTTTTCCTCTGGTATAAAATGGAAGTGAGGCATATTGTGATTATAAAATAATAGCGGCAATTGCTGCGGTCCATTTGATGTTACGGATACTTCGAAGCATTTTTTGATTGGTCAATTAAAAGCTTTGAAGCATTTGTAGCGTCAAGGACCCGCACCCAAAATGTGGAGTGAGTTGATGTGCAAGCTTGAGCACTGCTATCTTAAAAGTTTGACTGAAGAAGGGATTAACATATTTTTTAAACATTTAAATGTATGTGATATGCAGAAGTCAGGAATGGTCGAAAGGAAGTCGGTGATCTTCCGACTGTTAGTTCCAACACATCAGCTCAAAGACATCTAGTCTGCAAGCATAGCATTGTTGTCAAAATGAAAAGTGTCGCCATATGAAGGGAAAGTAATGGAGAAAGCAATATAAATTGAGTAATACAATTTCGTCGCTATTACCATAATTCTGGACGGAAGTTGAGTCACTCATGTATCGTAGGTTTATATTAGATATTATATATTGACATTATATTATTATATAACAGTATATATACTATAAAGGTACATATAGATTATTGAACCGAACTTAAAGATGAGCTGTGAGTTAAACTTCATGAGCGTCACAAACATTTCTGTGATCCATACTGTAGTTTCAATTCTTTTTTTTTAATTGTTGGTACCTACCTTTCGAAGAAAGTCCTATGAAGATTAATACAGTCAGATCACGTTTTCTGGGATGTACGGAAACGTGATGTTTCTTCGCAGAGTCCCAAAATCTACTCGTAGTAAACACTTGTATCCTTGTTTATGCAAGGAGTTTGCATTGATTCTGGGAGCATCGCACTAAAGAAATAAGATTGAGTTAATGGTGGAGTCTCTATCCCCCGAAGAGGCTATCACAGGATTTTTTTATCCAAATTGATCATGTGGTACTGTGATCCTTTATGTTAGGTCGGAAGTCCAAACAGGAGAATCTCAAGAAGAAGAAGAAGAAGAAGAAGAAGAAGTAAATACTTGTGTAGATTGGTGCTAGGGTGGACGCGGAGTAAACTCTTCTCGCCTGTTACTCAGATCAGCAGTATGGCAGTGATTTCAATTGTGGATGCTTTTCATTTGATGACACAAGTCGACACAAGCATCTTTCTACCTCTCTTGGTATTCAAGCACCCTGTGTGTTTTATGTGATAAAGTTTTGTGTTCACAATGCTAGAAATTAGACTAAAATCTCAGAGAAAGAATTAACAAATCCCATTAGAACAATTTGATCATATGTCCAATGCGATTGATAAATTCTTTTTTTATCTGAAGTTTCAGATCAATTTCTAGTATTATGGCTTCAAATATACATGTGACATTCAAGAGGTTTGGCTCGAAGCTTGTCTCTAGATTTGATTCGAGATTTGGTTCGATAAGCTGGATGTATCTTAACATTATACTATACTAATATATTATAACTGCTATAATATATTATACTATTATATAATAGTATAACACAATGACATTGTATCGACCATGTAATACAATATAGAATCACAGTGTAATTCGTTTAGATGCAATACTTAGTTTTCTTTTTCTCTTAACTCTTATGATATGATACGACGATACCTTCATAATATGAAAACATCTTTCTTTGTCTCTTCATACTTTCTGTTATAAAGGAAGCTCATTAAATTATTGTATACGATATGAATAAATAAATTGCATAAATAAATTGCTGTGAGCTCATCTAACTCGCTTGTTTAGAACGCTTTCGAATAGTGTTGGATCAATAAAAAATCATTTCTGTTTTTTTTTTTAATTCACTTTTATCTTCACGGCAAAAAAAAGATTTTTAATCAATGAAGATCTCGTTATCAGTGCGACGGCGTGATCGATCGACCGATCGTGGTTGTGCTCAGTTGCGCCACGTAGATTCGTGTCGGTCAATGATAAACGCGCTATCAACCGCCTGTCCGAGCGCGATGGTAGCCGTCGAATGACGCCACGGCCACCTAACGGAAGTGAACCGAGAGTAGGCGAAGGCAACGTCGTCGTTGATCGTCGCGGACGGGGATGTCAGGCATCTATTTCCGAACACGTTGCAATCGTGGTCGAAGGGGACAGCAAATCGCTGGATGGCAAAAAAGCGACTAGAAGAATTCGCGGGGTGTAAAGACTGGTCCCAACTGGTCCTGTCTTGTCGTTGTCGATTGACAGTCGTGCTCCGAATTCTGTGTTGATTTATTACGCGGAAAGGGAGAGAGAGAGAGAGAGAGAGAGAGAGAGAGAGAGAGAGAGAGAGAGAGAGATTCGCTGTTCATCGTGTCGTGCGACTGTCACGCCGAGTGTTCGCGAAGGACTCGAAGAGAAGAACAGAAGGAAGAAAAAAAAAAGCGTAATCTCCCGTGGCGGTGGTTGCGAAACGTCACGCGCGACCGTCACGGCGATCGGACCCGTACGTGCGCGCGTGCGGCTCGTGAGCGGCGCACGAGGTGGACAAGGTGAGTCCGCGACGAGAGGCGCGCGACAGGAAAGGGAACTGGGAAAGAGGACGGTGAGGCGCAGAGCATAATGCGATGAGACACCGCGCCGACCGCTCGTCGAGTCGACGTTCGCTGATCCTCGCGCAGCGAAACGACACGAGGCTGCTCTCGCGCGACATCCCGGACGGAGTCGCACGCAGGAGGTTATAAGCGGAGTTATGCGCCTGACGTTCGGCCCGCCGACGAACGTCGATCGCGGTGGACCACTACCGAGCTGTTTTTCCGGCCTTTCGCAGGTCTGGCGAATGGACAACGACGCGCCAACCAACGCGCTTGATGGTCCACGTTCGGAGACGCGCATCCCTTTGCGCTCTTTAACGCCTTCGACAACGTCCCGTGGCCCAGGATCCGTTTAACTGGCTGTGAAAAGTGCAACGTAACTGTATCGAGTCCAAAGAGTTGAGTAGTGCGATTAATCGTTCTTCTATATCATTGTTTGGCCAGATGCCACGAGATATCTTGAGATATAGAAATGATCTTTAGGAAGCAAAATGTTAGCAGCATACCAGCAATTTGCTAGCAGACTCGAACAGAATATTGCAGTGGATTGGCGTCAACTATGTCTGCATTAAACTCGTGTTTTTCCAACGTAATCTATCAGCAAATTATCAACAGAAATCAAATAGAATCATGTTGTTCTGTAATCATTTAAATTGAATTATGATATTTAAATAGAATTATGAAATGACATGATTCTATTTGGTTTCCATTGGAAATTTGCTGTCAGATTATGGCAAAACATAAGCTTAATGCAAGTGTCAACTTACTGTAATATTCTATTCAAATCTGCAGGCAAATTGCTGATATACTTCCAGATAGCTAAATCTGTCAAAAACAGATTTTGCAAAATATTCACTATATTTTGTTAACAGAGTATCAGCAGAAATCTAACAAAAGAGTATGACAGATTGATTGTAGAAATTGAGCAGAATTTGTCATCCTGTAATTATTTAAATGATATATTCCAAATAATTACAAATTACATGACTCTGCTTTGTCCAGATTTCAACAGAATATTGGTATCAACTGTAATCATATTCAACTCATGTTCTAGCAAAATTTGCCGACATAATCTGACAGCAAACTGTCGGTAGAAACCTCATTCAAACAAAATCTCATTCCCTAACCATGAAATATATATCATCTCATGACTATGAAATGGCCAATGTTGCTTTTGTATTCCATTTGCTATCATATTCTATTAGCAAATTTTGTTAAATTTCTTCTGGTATTTTGTTGACAAAATTTATAGCAGATACTTTGCAAAACTTTTCAACAAATTGATCTAAATAAAAAAACAAATTCATCTAAATCATTATTATATTTTAAATATATTCATAAAGTACTTGAAACAATTAGATGCTGCTAACATGTCGGTAATAGAAACTCTATAGAAACAAAGCATGTTATTACTAAATCTTGCTTGTATACATGAAATTGAGCCAACAGTGATGAATTTACTCCTTTAATCTATTGTAAATATGTTGATACAGTGTTTTTCTGTATTACTACTATAGGTATATAGATAGATAGATAAATATACAAAACACTGGTCAAAATGGATCAAGAAACGGTCTACGGCACGCATGAGGATAGTCATGTTGTCATGTCAGAGAAAGTACAGTCTTTGGCAGGCAGCATCTATCAAGAGTTCGAAAAGATGATAGCGAGATATGATGAAGATGTAGTGAAAGACTTGATGCCTCTGCTAGTCAATGTGTTAGAATGTCTGGATATATCATATACTGAGAATCAAGAACGTGAAGTTGAACTAGAGCTATTAAGAGAAGATAACGAACAGCTTGTCACGCAGTACGAAAGAGAGAAGCAATTGAGAAAAGCATCAGATCAGGTAATTACTTTTTTTTTTTTTCAAATAAGTTACCTTAAATCTACAAATTTTTGGTATATGAAGTAATAATATATTTATATTGTAATATAATGTGAATATATTTATATCAGAAACTTCTCGAACTGGAAGATGTTTCCGAGGATGAGAGAAAGGAACTTCTGTCGAAAATTGATAGCTTGGAATCTATCGTAAGAATGCTGGAACTGAAGACTAAGAATTCTCATGATCACGGTACAAATGCCATTGACGTTTCCAGTCTACCTGTTCACAGTTCTTCTCTTTACAGTAGAGTAGAAGATTTTGTTTTTTTGCGTTTTATGTTATTTACATTCATTCTTGTATATCACTCTCTTGTAGTGAGCGAGGAACATAGGGTGCAGGTTTACTGTAGAGTTTATATAGGGTGCATTTTTTATTGTCCTTTGTTCATTTATTATTTTTTTAGTCATTCTCATATTTCATATATGGTTCTATTTAGAATGCTGTTATAAAGATTTATCATCCGACACCTTGTAATAGATATGTATGATAATCATATATTTTTTTTACATTGTTCAAATGTTTATTATTTAAATCATTAAAAATTGATTTCTTGCTTGTGTCAAATATCATATGTTTACTATACAAAAATGTGAAGCATGTTCCATAGTGTCCAGTCCATGTCCAAAATTGCTTCATACATATATAGATTACCCTTACCATTAATAAACATTCATATTTCTTTTTAGTTGGTCGACTCGAGGAGAAGGAAGCTGAATTGAAACGCGAGTATTCCCGACTGCACGACAGATATACGGAATTATTCAAGACCCATGTCGATTACATGGAGAGGACCAAAATGTTGGTTGGTAGCACAGAAAGACTAGAGAGTGTATCTACGAGCCGTGCACCATCGCGGTTACCTTCTCTTGGACTTGCTCATATGTCGCGTAGTTCCGGGCCGCTTAGTTATGGCTTTCAGAGTTTGGAAGCTAGTATAAATGCCGAAGATGTTCAAGAGGATATTGTACCAAATGTCGTTAACTTGAGAACCGAAATGTTGGATAGTAGCAGCGAGGCCGCTATCGAAACATCCGACAAAAGCCAATTAACTGATCAACCAGTACAAGAGAATAAGACTACAGCTATATCTAGACGTATGTTGTATATTTGATAATAAAGCTTGTAAATTCCTATTTGAAATGCGAGATTTTAAGTTAGGAATATATTTTTACAGACGAAAGTCCGGAAACGGAAGTCCCACCATCTTTAATAACGCCAACGACGCCGACCGCAAGTATAGAGAAGTTAGCGACTACGCCAAGTGGTAGAAGCAGGACTGAAAGAGAACAACGAAGCGGTAATACGTTGTATCAAGAACTAAGTTTTCAAGATGCTGATGCGCTGGGTGAAATGGACGAGGGTGCAGATATTACCGGTAATATATCCACGAGAATATAATGTTAAAGCTCGATTTTTTTCTTTAGAAAACTAAATTGATATGTTTATGTTTTTAGGAAGTTTAGTACATCCTGGAGAATATGCTTCGTCAGGTATGTTTGATATATATTCAAAATTTTTGCGATATGCAAATATATTCGTTCATATCTTCATCCATCTTTTGAGTTAACAATTTTTTAAACTTATATTATCTATGTATTGTGTTTCATTGTCTGCCATTCTATGCTGGCTCGCGTCGTACTTTCAAAATGCGATGCATGACACTAACTTACCGTCAACTGCAGTCAATGACAACTTCTTCGGTAAGACGTTATGTTATTAATAATATTTTTTCGTATGATATACACAATGTGTATATATATTTTTAAAATAATTAACATCAGATCTATTAACGGTACAATCATTCTTGAACATGCTTTCCATGTAACATTATTTATGGATACAAATCAGGACTTTTAAACAATAGATGTACATTACTTCTTATTTCTCTTAATTAACTGCTATGCATGTAACATAATTAAAAAATAGAGATTAAATATCAATTTTATATTAATCTAAATATAAATCTTAACAAACAATATTCAAGTATAATGTATTTTGGTTTTTAGAAGAAAAGTTGTTTAACTGTTTTGTTATACTTTTGTCTATTTTTTTACAGGCATGGGAAAAGAAGTAGAAAATCTTATTATGGA